GGCTTCTTCTTGAAGGAGCCACGGGGGCGGCCGCGGGGCCGCTGAGGTGTGCCAGGCTGGCTCCGGGCCCGGGGAGGCCTCTCTGGGGACAGGGTTGGGGGCTCATGGGCCGGGGGCTGCTGAAGGAGGTCGGCCAGGGCCCGTGCCACACGCTGGTGCTGTGCCTCTGCCTTGCGACACTCAGGGGCCGGACGCTTCTTCCTCGCCCGGGGCTTTGGGGAGGTGCCTGAGAGTGAGGGAAGCAGGGGTGAACGCTAGAATACCCCCTGCCCCCACGATGGAGAGGGCTCACCCAAGCCCCCTGCTGCCCTCCCTGGCTTCTAGAGATGGCACCAACCCACCCCCGGGGGGGGGAGGGAGGGGAAATGCTGCTGCTCCCATGATGCCATGGGGCAGTGGGGGGCATCCTCACCTCTCTGGGAACGCAGGGCAGCACGCAGGGGACTTGGGGCTGCCACCTCTTCGGGGCGGAAGCCCAAGAACTCATCCTGCTGGACAGGGCGGAGGGGAAAGGTTGATTAGGCTCCGCCCATGCTGCAGAAGCCCCGCCCCTGCCCTCAAGCCCTGCCCACTCCCCCCCACTTAAGCCCTGCTCATTGTGTCACACCTGTATTCCCACTACTAGAGACCACCCCCAACCCTTCATCACATAGCCCTGCCCCTCTCCTGGATGGCCTCACCCATTCAATACCCCCTCACCCCCAGTAAATTCCCTTCCTACTGACTACTCCATGGGATGATGTCACCCACCCCCCAAATTAACCCCCAAGTCACAGACCCCCGGGGTGGGGGAGCAGGGATTCAGAACCCTTCCCACCCTGTCCTTGACCTGCCAGCTGGGGACACTGAAGCATGGGACTCAGTGCCTCAGTTTCCCCATGGGGGAAGGGGTCTGTCAGGCAGAGAGGTAGAGAATTGGGACCCAGCTGCGCAGCCAGGGAGCCAGAAAGGGGGAGAAGGGAGTACATGTTGCTATCTGAGAGATCCCACAGCTCGTACTGAGGCTGAGATGCAGCCAGCTCTGGGGAGGGGCATCTGGAGAAGCAAGCTACAGTGATGGGGATGGGGGGGCCTTTCCCAGGGCCAAAATGCAGCCCGTCCACGTATTACACGAAAGAAACTTTTCTATCTTATAAACACAGACACTCCAGGAGCTGACAGCTTCTAAGGGCTGAAATGCGCCCAGCTCTGGAGTGAAACAGCTACAGCCACATATAACACAGATAAAACTTTTCTGTATTATAGATATAGACACTCGGTGCTGACCGCTTCTCAACTCTGGGGTGGAACAGCTACAGCCCCATATACCACTGAAGAAACCTTCCTGGGTTTTATATGCACGTACTCAACATTGACAGCCTCTCAAAAGTCAAAATGCAGTCAGCTCTGGGGTAGAACAGCTACAGCCACGTATAACACCAAAGAAACCTTCTGGATTATTTAGGCAGACATTGCGAGCTGACAGTTTCCCAAAAGTTGAAACATGGTCAGCTCTGGGGTAGAACAGCTACAAACAGCCACATACAACAGGGCAGAAACATTCCTGGTTTTTATATATGGATGCTTAGTACATACAGGCTCTCAGTACTGATAGTTTTCCCCAGCCCTTAAATGCAGCCAGCCCAGGGGTGGAACGGATACAAACAAGCTCACATAACACTAAAGAAGTTTCCTGTGTTACACAAAGACACTCAATACTAACAGTTTCACAGGTGCTTAAATGCAGCTAGCTCTGAGGTTGAACTGCTATAAACACCGGGGAAATCTTCCAAGTTTCTCAGTACTGAAAGCTTCATAGGAATTATGATGCAGTTAGCTCTGGGGTGGAAGAGCTACAGAATGCCATGCATAACATTAAAGAACTGGTGTGAATGTGCTAAGTATAGACAACCTCCCAGAGGGCGAGATGAAGCCAGCTCTGGGGAGGGGAGGCTAGGGAAGAAAAGAAAAACACAGTGACATAAAATAAGATGGCTTATTTGGCGGTGGGATGCAGCTACCTCTGGGGTGGAACAATTACAATTGTTACAATTACTATGTGTAACACCAAAAAAACCCCTCTTAAGACTCTTAATACTCAAAGCTTCCTAGCAGTTAAGATGCAGCCAGCTCTGGGGTAGAACAGTTATGCCAACAAAACCTTGCACAACTCAGAACCGAAAATTTTCCAGCAGCTAAGATGTAGCCACTTCTGGGGTGGAACAGCTACAAACAGCTACATGCAACACCAACAAAACCCCTAAAGACTATCAGCACCAAGAGCTTTCTAGGTGTTAAGATGCAGCCAGCTCTGGGGTGAAACAGCTGGACAACAGCCCCACATAATGCTAGACAACTACCATAAGGTACTGAGTACAGCCAGCCTCCCAGAGGACGAGATGCAACCAGCTCTGGGGTGAAACACCTACATATAAACACCAACAAAACTTCCCAACACTCTCAGTACTAAGAGCTTTCTAGGTGTTAAGATGCAGCCAGCTCTGGAGTGCAACAGCTACAGAATAACCACATGTAACAGTAGACAACCCTTGTAAGGCACGGACAACCTTCTAGATGGTGAGATGCAGCCAGCTCTGGGGAGGGGTGACGAAAAAGCAAAACACAGCGACAGCAAATCAGATGGCTTATCTGGGGCACGAAGATGCAGCCAGTTCTGGGGTGGAACAACTACAAACAGCTGTATGTAACACTAACAAAACCTCACAAGACTCTCAGTACTGAGAATTCTCTAGCTGCTAAGATGCAGCCATCTCTGGGGTCAAACAGCTACCAATAGCTACGTATAACAGCAATGAAACCTCGAAAGACTCTCAGTGCTGTGAGTTTCCTAGCAACTAAGATGCAGCCAGCTCTGGGGTAGAACAGCCAGACAACGCCAGACAAGCACCACAAGGCACTGAGCACAGACAGTCTCCTGGATGAGGAGATACAGCCAGCTCTGGGGAGGGGAGGCTAGGAAAGAAAAACACAGTGACAGCAAATAAGATGGCATGTTTGGAATGGAGATGCACCCAGCTCTGGGGTAGAAGAGCTACAAACAGCTACACCATAAAAAAAATCTCCCAAGACTCTTAATACTCAATACTTTCTAGCAGCTAACATGCAGCCAGCTCCAGGGTGGAACAGATGCACACGTAATGCCAGACTACCATGAAGTGCTGAGTAAAGCCAGCCTCCCAGAGGATGAGATGCAGCCAGCTCTGAGGTGAAACAGCTATAAAAAGCTATACATAACACGAATGAAACCTCCCACGACTCTCAATACTGAAAGTTTTCTAGGTATTATGATGCAGCCAGCTCTGGGGTGAGACAACTATCCACAACTACATATAACACCAATGAAACCTTGCATGACTTTCAGTATTGTTCTAGCAGCTAATATGCAGCCAGCTCTGGGGCAGAACAGCTGCAGAACAGCCACACATAATGCCAGACAAGCAACATAAGGCACTGAGCACAAACAGCGTCCAGGATGGGGAGATGCAGCCAGCTCCGGGGAGGGGTGGCGAAGAAAGAAAAACACAGTGACAGCAAATAAGCTGGCTTGCTTGACACAGAGGTGCAGCCAGCTATGGGGTGAAACAGCTACCAACAGCTACATATAACACTGATGAAATGTCGTACAACTCTCAGTGCCAAGAGTTTTCTAGCAGTCAAGATACAGCCAGCTCTGAGGCGGAACAGCTAGGCAGCCCCACGCAACACCAGACCAGCACCACCAACCTCCCCAGTGGTGAGATGCAGCCAGCTCTGGAGTGGGGGGAACGGCTGCACACCTGTGCTGGGAACCCTCCCCCCACCCCCTACAACTTTGCAGGAGCTGAAATGCAGCTGATTCTGGAGTAGGGAATAAAGCCTGGGAGGGCAGAAGTTTCTTCCCCCCTCCCAAGGCTGGGGTCCACCCCAGAGCTGGCTGCATCTCTTTGCTAGGGTGCCTGTCATATGTGCCTACCCCCCGGGAAGGGACCTGCTTGTTAGGGGGTTGCCCCTGCTGTGCTAATCACCCCCACTGTTAAGATAACCACCCCATATACCTGGCAGCCTGGGGGCATGAGGAGAAACTGAGGCATGCACAAAACAGGCCCCTCGCCCAAGACTGCCTCACACCCCAGACTGGGGGGGCGGGGCAGGGCAGGGCAGGGCGGGGCAGGGCAGGGCAGGGAGGGAAACCCAGACCCCCATTCTGCACCACACTTCAGGGCTCCAGGCAGGGGGTCCTGGGGAGTCCCAGTCTAACAGCCCCCC